CCTTCCATATTCCCCTCCACCTGCTCGTTGCCATCTCTCTTACCCCCAACTTTTCTGTATTCCGCTCCCGTCAAACCCTCAGGCTCCTTCCAACCACCGCATAGGCTTTCAAGCCCTTCTTCTTGCTATTGTTTGTGCTTCCAACCGCCTTCCAGTAGCCGCACCGACCTTCTGATCTTGTACCTACTGCTGCCACCCCCACAGAGCCTGTTTTTGCCGCCGCCAACCCTTCTAGGCCTGTTCTGGCTGTCGCCAACCCCTCCAGAGCTTGTACCTTCTGTTGTCTAGCCCAGACACCGATTTTTGTTGTTGTCCAATCCACCTGTTGACACTTACTATTGCTGTCCAGTCAACTGCCTCCTCTCTTACTATTTTCTAAACTGCAGCCACTTGCTACCAGCCTCCTCTTAGCAGGCCGCCAACCCTCATATGCCATCTAGCACCACTACCACTTACTGCCATCCACCCTCTAGCATCGTCGTCTCTTCCTTGCATTCCGGGCCTATCGCCATCCTCAAGGGAGCCATTTATTTGTATTATTTTATTTTATTTCTTTTTTTGTAGTGTTGTCATCGTTACTTGTTGTTTACATGTTTGTGTTGTTTGATATTGAGAATTCAGTGTTGTCACTTTTGACTTTAGCAATAAAATTTATCTTTTAGTCGTGGTTTGGGTTCTACGGTATCACTGATACTTCTCCTTTGCGTCCTTGCTTGGTTTAGGGTATCCTGTGTTATTATTCCTTTCTTCAATTGCTCTCTGTTCAGTGAAATAAATTATTCTCTTGTTTTGGCAATCTGATGCATTGTATCCAATATGATGACACTTGACAAACTTCCTAGTTGGAATGGAATTGGGAGTGTTGGTTGGCTCCACCTATTCTCCACTCTGAACTAGTTTTTTCTCATGTCGGGTTAGCTTGGATGTTCCAATGGTTATACTCATGTTGCTTCATCTTGCAGTTGAACTCTCCCTATAAGGTGTGACGATTATTCGATGATGCTATTGAGTCTGAATATTATGTAATGTCTAATAGTGTTGTAATTGTACTACTTTGTCAATGAACTGTCTCTGTCCTACCAAATATCAAGCTGGGGTATTCTCCTCGAGCTCCATTAGTCCATATTTCAACATAAGCTACTCAAATTTAGTGATGTACCTTTCTATCGAGAGACCTTGTTGTGTTAAGTGATAAAATCTCAAAAATATGTATTGTTTGTATTATTTTGGCAGGTGCTTGCATTGCATCTCTCGTTTCTTCTTGGACTATATAGCAATTTTACTCTTTCCTTCTTGTTGTCAAAGATGCATCTAATTCTCTAACCCTAAGGAAAGTTCTTCTTAGGCTTGATAACGGTTAGTTTGATCCTCCTGTCAGGTGAAACATCCTTTTACTCAAATTACTGTTACATTGTCTTAAGCTACTTGATAAACTCATCCGGTTCCATGTGGCCGTCAAAATTGAACAATTCAGTCTTTACTCCAAAATTTTAAATTCTCTGTTATTCTATGCCAATTCTTTGGGTTATTAGTTCTTCATCACTGAAAACTGCCTAGTGGAAGGGATTAATTTGCTTCTCTTGATCTGACGATTTACCATTTTGGCTATGAGTGACCTCACGAATTGTCATCTTTCAATGGCGATAAGCCTCTATTGCTGTTAGAGGATTTCCTACTGCATATCTTCCATAGTTAATCCCCGTACACCTTTTTGTGAATTGCTCCTTGTGACATTGTGTTTTTTTCTCCATGCTTCAGTTAAAGGGTATGCATATTGCATTAAACATAAAAAAGAGTACAAAAAAGCACAAAAATAGGTCCTCAGACCTGTGCAAACAAGGCCCTGTTTTCACGTAGGATGACAAAAAACTCCGACGAGTCAGGGACCGTATCAAAAGAAAAACTATGTAAAAGACCCCTTTTGGGTACAAAAATGGGCAGCTTTGTTAAGTTCGAGATCAGGCTTCCTTGAAAGTGAGCTTTTCCATTAATAACAAACAAAGTTACAAAAGTATGCATGTAAGCATCTATGATGTACAAAAAAAGGCCTATCATCTACAATTATAGATGAAAGATTTGTATCTTCGTCAACATGCATAAAAAAAAGAAACTAGCAAGAGCACACTTAGTACAAAAATGAGCGGCTCTATTACAATTCTTAGGTGTGTAAAAAAAGAACTTGTCTTAAGTTGGAGAGTAAGGCAAGTTCTGGAGCAAGTTGCGGCCGGGGGTGCCAGTATTTTCTTTCAAGAGAAGTTCCCAAAAAATGAATAATATTCAATTTATACCCTTCTATAATGTCCCCTTTTCCCTCAAATATTCACTATTCATAGATAGTATACATGACTGCAATAACTTTGAGTTTAACTTGGGCATTCTCCCAAAGTTGAAAATGATGTCGCGTTGCTGTAAGGCTAATCCCTTGTTCATCACGAATAATAACTCTCGCTTCGACACAACCAGAGCAGGCTTCTGATGGGTTTAGGTATTGGTGTAGGTGTAGGTGTAGGTGTTGGGGTAAAATTTTTGTGAAGGTAGGAAAGTTGAATTTTGAAAATTTAGGGTTAGGGCTAGGAGTTTCGGTAGGAATATTTTAGATATTGTGAGAATTATTTTTTGAATTTCGGATTGAGACAAGAAAGACAAAACCCTAAAAAAATCTTGGGTTTCCTGGGCTCTGACACTAAAGTGATGCCATTCTGGCCTCCTAGAAGGTATTTGGGAAGTTGATTTTGTGGCGAGGTGGTTGTGGAATAGCAAGGAGAAGATAATAGGTGAGTTCGACGATGTTTGGACGAGGGTAACAATCGTTCGGCGGCTTTCCCAACTGAAAACAGCAAGGATAGTTCCGAAACGATGAGATACGAAGGTCGAGGAGGATCCACCATCTGTTGCTATTCATGATACAAACACACCACTTGCAAAAGGAATGAATACAACACTCCAGAGTGCATACAACAAAGATCGTCTCCCAAAATAAAAACACTCATCAAAACTCCCTTCTAAGTAGAAAATAATAAAATATAAATTGCCTCCCAAGTAAAAGCCCTACTTAAAAATTGAGAAATAGGAAGAAAATTAGGAAGGTAAAAAAAGGACAATTGTGGAAAATAGGAAATAATAAAGAAAGGGAAGTCTCGGGCCAGTGTTCGCGCTATCTGGGGTCTGCCTATCACAGAGTCTGCGGACCGCAGGACTCCATGGAAATAGGATCGTGGCATACGTTCCTACGTCACCTATTTGAGGTGAAGCCATCGTCTTCACTGCCTTCTCCTCAGGGCATTTGTGATGCTAGTCATTTGGGGCCCTAATTACTAGGGCCTTTACACTGTGGAATCTCCCGTTTTGTGCATCTTGTTCTATTGCAGCAGGCTTATTATGGAAGATGAGAGTTTTGATATTTTAGTTTGTCTGTTCATCTCAATTTCCAACACATTTTCAGTAAGTCTTGCGTCAACTAATCACAAGTTTCTCCATCCTTTCATGTTAAACCAACACTCATTTTTTTAGATGATGAGATTATTGAATTGTTATCTTTTTTTTTCTTTTTTTATTGTTGATATGTTTCTTGAGGACAGCCTTGTATGGAGATTGTTTGCAGATTCATGCTTGAATTGAGATTGGTATGGGGATTATTTAGTTGTGCTTTTTGGTTCTCGTCATGGCTCTCTGTCAATGCTGATTATTCCAGACTCATTTCTTGCTAATGTGAATATTTTAAGTAGTTTTTTTTTTTTTTTTTTTTAATAGGAATCTCATGTTATTCTTGTTTGGGTTGCCTTTCCTTGTCTCTAGGTTCACTATTTCAACTAATCTACATTGTACTCTTTTGGCTCAATTTTTAAAAAACTGCTGCAAACGATTGTTGATATAATTTGGCTTTCAAGCTCGTCTATGATTAAGAATTCTTTTGGAAATGGAGGCCACTAAACTTTGGAGAGAGAGATTTAGATTGGTTCCAGGGATTGTGGCTACTGACAAAATGTTGAATTTGATTTATATTATTTTTCATGTAAAGGTTGTTATAATTTCTTAGGATGCTTCAGGGCACCACCCAAAACTATGTAAATCTCTCAGAAATCAGGGCAATGAGAAGCATTCAACTGAAAAATAAAAAGAGAAGAAAAAACATTCTTTGAATTCAATGGTGGCCGTTCCAGCTATTTTTGATCTAGCTTAAATTCAAAATTTTGAATCAACATGAGATTATACATTCTGCATCCCTTGGAGATAGCCCAGGGCTTGTGATTGACTATGTTCCTTCTCACAACCCTGCTGTTTTACATCCACCAGAGGTTTTTTGTCTTCAGAATCATCTTGTTGTTAGGGGTATTGGTAACCTTGAGACTATTTGTTGGCTTTGATGATTAGTATTTCTATTATTGAAAAACTCATGGATAAGAAGTTTCATGTTCTATATGCCAGGTGATGAAGTAATTGCAAGAAACTATATCAGCACTCTCCAAAATATATCAGTCTTTAAGCTTGACCTTTTTAGGGAGGACTCGTGGTTTTTCTATTCTGTCTTGCATCTAGCTTCATTAATCTTTAAAATTTATTTTGTTTTAGCTCTTTTTATTTATGTTTCTGCAATTGCTGTATTTTACTTTTTTTTTGGATTGATGCTAAAATTTTCGAAATGTTTTGTGTCAGCCTGCTCTGTATAATATGATTTATAAATTTTGCATTAAATTTGATGTCCATTTTTATAATTACCTACTGCTGTTAACATTTTAATTTGTAAATATTGTTGCTGGTTTCATTTTCAGTTTCCCATCTTATCTAGCTTTTATGTATGTACGTAGAGATTCAAACAGCTGGTAATCTGGCCGTTATGCTAAAAATGGAGAAAAACATAATGAAGAAGTCTCGACATAAGCTTCTACTCATTTGCTATCTGTTATCTACTTTATGGACTTAGTTATCTCGATTAACGCACCATAGTAGGTTTGACTAGACATGAGCTTCTGACATGAAACTATCCACCATTCAAAAAACAGGCATTCATTCGGATATAGCTGAAGCCAAGAATGATTACTGGTCATCTCTTGCGCCACTTCCTTCAGAAGTTGTGTTGTCTGCTGGTCAGAAATCAAGAGAAGGTCCTTCATCAGGTTGGTCTTTTTGTAATGCTTGAGATGCTACTTGTGGAGAACTAATTACTATATGAAACTTTTAGAACGTAATCAGGCTGTGTTTTTCATTTTCTTACCTCATATTAGCAGGCAAAGCTGATCACGAGGACAACCACAGAGTCACATTTGGGATAATTGATCCAAACTGGGAAGAAAACATTGAAAGCATGCTTTTGGTTGAGAAAGGCCTGTGTGAACTTGTATCACTTAAGGTTTATATTAAATTTTTTAAAATTTTTAAAATCTTTGTTTGATTGGTGCTTCTTTTCCTAATAAATTATTTATTTATTTATTGTTATTTCTTGCAATATTAAGCAATTACTATCTGGATGTCACTTTTGAATCTTGAAAAAGAAAAGGAAATATTTATAGAAGATTCTCAGTCAATGTGTGGACGTAATATTTTTGCACACTAAATAATGGCATAGGCTCATGGCATGATTGTGAGACACTGAAATAGACAATGAAACAAAGGACTAAGATATTGATGAAAATCTTGGAATTTCTCTTTATGGGGCATGCAAACTCCAGATCTAAGATGCAAAATACAAGTGAATATATATATATATATCGTCT